GCTGACTTTCAAACCCCCTCCCAGCATTTGGTATGGAAAACTGCTCAGGACTTCAAGACAGACCTGTACTTCCAGAGAACAGATATGGGTGATGTTTGCAAGAGGCAAGTGACACCTAACTGGTGGGTACATTTGAAGATACCAACCTGATTGTTATCTATGTCAAATGTGTAACAATTATGCCAAAAGACAGCCAGCAAGCATGCTGCAGAGTATAGAATTTAAGAACTGGCTACCATGGGAAACATTTTCTGTCAACATAATTTTTCTCTTCTTCCCATCACCAGCTGTTCTGATTTTCCCTCCAGAGTCAAACAGTACCTAAGTATATGACTGTGAGTGGAAAAATGGGGAGTATAAATCAATCAACATCTGACGTCCACATATGTGTGAATTTCAAACAGAAATGCAGGGTATAAAGCATTTACACAAGTCAGAATGCTCGGGAAAACAAGTTGTTCCAACAGTTTAACCATCTAACAATTACAAATTAACCTGCTAAAAAATTTCTGGACAATGCCATCATTTGAAATTGTTATAAGTAAATAAATTCCTATTCCCTCACCCCACCCCCTTTGTTTTCGAGACAAGGTTTCTCTGTGTAACAGCCCTAGCTGTCCTGCAACTTGCTCTGTAGACCAGGCTGGCCAGAGTGCTGGGATTAAAGGTGTGCACCCCCACTGCCCAGCTGTAAATAAATTTCTTATTGATGGGAGAAACTAAAAAAAAGAAAAAAGTATCCAAACAACATTAGACAAGAGCTATACGAACACAAAATTTAACCAGTTATTACAGCACATAAAAACTTTAAAGCACCGTAACCACCCCTGAAGGTCACTAAGTAAGGAGTGAAAGAAGCCAAGTGTGCACGCCGATAGTCTTAGCACCAAGGAGCCTGGGGCAGGAGAAACACTAGCTCTCAGCCGGCCAGAGCTACTTAGGGAGACTCTGTCTCAAACATTAAAAAAACAGGATGGCCAGGCATGGTGGCACAGGTCTTTAATCCCAGCACTTGAGAGGCAGAGGCAGGCAAAGCTCTGAGTTTGAGGCCAGCCTGGTCTACATAGTAAATTCTAGGACAGCTAGGGCTGTTACACAGAGTACCTAAGTAGTCAGCAATTTTCAAGTCACCTGTCTTGAAAATCTGAATGAAAGAAAAAAAGAAAGAGAGATTGAGAGGGAGGGAGGGAGGGAGGAAGGGAGGGAGGGAGGGAGGGAGGGAAAGAACAGGATGCCTATGAATATTAAATCCCATCAATAACCACCTGTTTCATTTTACAGTCACAAGAAAAAGATTTTCATCAGTATCAATACTTAAATTACCACTGTTACCTTTAAAATTTTCAAATATAATTAGGTTGCATGACAAAGCATCATTACAACCTAAGTATCAGTTAAAATACAAATGTAGCTATAATAAGCTATGCAATTACCACCTCTTCACCTGAGCACTTCCCAGTCCACCTCTGACGGCAATCTCCAAGTTATTTTTTGCACATATCCTTTAGGTAATATCATCACATGACTTCTAAGATTAACCATGGAATCAGAATGAACCATGTTCACTGATAATAAAGCATATGTGGGTGTCTACAAAAAAAAAAAAAAAACGAACTAAATAAATGGCCAAAAGGTGTCTCATGAAGCTAAAGGTCACTAGCTTAGCAAAGTTTATCAGTATAAGCTTCATGCAAAAGTAAGAATAAAACAAATCTTTATTTATTATGTAAACAATTTTCAATAAACTTTTACAAGGCATCTTCCCCATATGTTGTCAGGAATAAAGGCATACACAAAGTAAACTGTATTCAATATTTCTTTTCACAAAGTTTACTAAGTACCAATTTTGACAGACAGCAACTTCAAAAAGAATAAATCTTTGAATTCTTGCCTTTGTGTAATGAGAGAGAGAAAAACCAGTAAGTTTGATGACAAGTCTTGGTGAGACTTGTGGCCCACCAAAGAAGTCCTCTTCTGAAATGGTACTGGGAAGTTAAAAAGACTCTCAGTGGTACTCTGCTATCATGAATCATTAGAAATCCCTAAAGCAATAAAGCCCTAACTTTAAAAGAAAAGAGAGTCCCAAAATGCTTCGAGAAGCATGTTTATTAGTTTCTAACAACTAGTCAAGGCATTAATTCAGCTTAACACCAATCTCCCAGTCATAAAATGTTCACATTTAGTGTAGATTGTGAATTTTTTGTTTTCATAAAGTACCCAAGAACCTAAGACCCAACTAAGGAATGACTGAAATATATTCAGCAGCAACTTGCTGATTCCTTGGAAATACCCCCTTTACACAGAAATGTGAACATGAAGGAAAAAGCAACCTTCACCAGGATGATGTCAAAACATTCCTAATTTTCTTTAAAAGTAAATATAGTTCAAGTTTATCACCTTGCTAAATATAGAAAGCAAAGAATAATCAGTGGTGATCACAGCTGTCAGAAACCACCAAGTCACAGATGACTACTGGAGTTTAAAATGTGGTAACAAATACTGAACACTGTACCAAAAATAAGCAAACAAAAGAAAAAAGACTCATTATACTCTTATAAATACATATAAAAGACTGACCAATTAAAGAAATACATGGCTTATATCTTCCACAAATCAACTTCTCCAGGGAATCTTTTCGATGTATACTGAACATCTAATAAAAGTTGGTATGATATTTATCCTCTTGTGAAAACTGCTTGATTTGTAACAGCCAAATGCTTATTCTTACATAAAAAGCAAGCATTAGACGGAAAAATTATTTTCAGATACAAGCTTAGACAAACCAGGCTGGAACCACTGGCCTTAGAGGACTGAATTTATTTTCATGATGTAATATGTTAAACATAAAGCTTAGCTTCAAATTAAAGCACAGAATAATTTTAATAGGATCCAAAGATTCTCAAAAAAAAATCAAACAGAAAATGTGAGCTGGCCATTACATAACAATAAAGCAAAGAAAAATAGACATTTTTGGAAAAATAACTTCATCATGAAAAGCTTTTAATTACAAGTCATTTCTAAAAATAGAAATGTTCAGATGTAAATGATCATAATGTAATATGAAAAAGATAATCTCGTTTTTTTTAAAGTCCTTTAATTTTTTTTTAACTGTCTATATAACTGTTCCTCTGCAGAATAACTGGAGGGAGGGGAGAGACCTCCCAAAAAGCATGCCAACTTTAGTAACTGTGCAGATCTTCAAAACCAATACATAAAAGTTTCAACTTAATGCTTATAAAATAGAATCAAATTAAATCAAATATATTTTATTTGAAATTCTTTAAAGTTAATGCCTCAATTTAAGACTAAATTGATCTCAATGCTACTTCTCGACTGAAAAGACTCCTTTTCTTAACCAAACTTAAGAACTCTCAAAAAAAAAAGAAAATTCACTTGACTAGCAATATTTTACCTCCAAATTTCATCCTGCCAGTAAAAAAAAAAAATCAAGCTAATTATTCTAAAAGACAAGATAATGCTGCAACTAAATTACTAGATGGCTCCTTTCTAAAGGAGTTCTGTGAATGAACACTAACTACACAGTAAATTTGCTTACTAAAACGTAGCTCGTAAAATCATTATAGAAGATGAATTATGAATCAGGAGTAACAACATCAGTGTTCAGACTGGCAACCTGAACATAATAATTTACCTTAGCTTGTCAACTAGGACTCAAGAGGAAGAGCTCTAACTAGGTCAAGTGTGCTCACAAGAAGGTGACACCGACCGAAGGAAGGGAAAGCCTTCCTCCACAGGCAAAATTAAGTCAAAAGGGGAAAGCCAAGAATGAAAGATTAAATCTGAAGAGACTGTTCCCATCTACCAAACACGTTTCCGCGGCTAAGCGCTGCCGGATTTTATAGCAAGCACCTTTTTATAACAAATCAAAACTAGAGCTATTTCCTGATCCGACACAAACCCGGGGTAAAGTGTGGAGCTGTGTAGTGGAAGTCCGCCCCGCTGTCACAAGAGGCTTCCCGCCACCGCCAGCCATCCGCCCGGTCCGCACAACCTCCCGCGTCCTAAGCGGCTAGCTACCTGCCTCCACCCCATCCACCCACCCCCCAAAACCGTCCAGAACTCTCCCCGCAGCTCAGATAGGAACAGCCGCTTGCACCGGGCTGGAGCGGGGCTTCTCCGCCCGCCCCGCCACCGTGCCCCGCCACCGTGCCCCGCCGAGCCCGGATGCACTCGCGCAGTGGGCGCCCGGGGGCTCAGACCGCCGCGAGCACCGGCCGGTCACGTGCCTCGGAGGGGGCCCGAGATCCGCGTCCCGGCACTAAGGAAGACGCCATCCAAGAAGCTGGCCGCGACGGGGACACGTCCGCCCTAGGGCCCCGGTGGACCCTGCAGGGGGGGGAAGCCCACGGCCTGGAGCGGGCCGCGTTGCGGGGGGCGGGAGGGGGACCGGGGGGGACACCGGTGCGCTGCCAGGTGGGGGCCGGGAGGCACAGGTGGGTTGTGTGGGCACAGGTGGGCGGCCAGGTGGCGTCCCCTGGGGGCGCGATTGGGGTCTGGGGGGGACACAAGGGCGCGACGAGAAAGGGTCCCGGTGGCACAGGTGGGGGTCGGGGGGACACACGTGGGTAGCCGGGGGGAGGGAGGGTCCCGGGGACACAAGGGCATATCCAGGTGCGTCCCAGGGCGCAGGTGGCCAGCCCGCCAGCTCCGCAGGCCACCGAGCCGCCTCGGACCCCGCCCGCCCGGCTACCCACGGGGCGCGGCAAGAGGCGACAAGGACGACCGCCCCTAGGGACCCCGCTGGCCAGCACGGTGGGCGGAGGCCGAGGGGACAGGGCCGCGGGCGAGGGCGGGTCCGCGGTCTGGCGGGCGGGCGTGCGTGCGAGCGGGCGGGCCGGCGGGGGAGGGGCGGCCGCGGGACCCCGCCGCTGCGCTCCGTCTCCTGCGGCGGCCTCCGCGTCGCCGGCCTGCGCGCGCCCCCTCCTCTCCCGTCCCCTCCCGTCCCCTCCAGCCCCGGCCGCAGCGGCGGCGGCGCTTACCTCGGTCGGCTGGCTGATCTCGAACAGGTCCAGCCGGTTGGCGTTCCAGTGGTGAATGATGTCGGCCAGCTTCCGCCGCTCTTCGTCGCGGCCGCCCGCCGACATGGTCGCGGCGGCCGCAACCTCCCCACGGTCGGCCGGGCCCGAACCCCGCAGGCTGCCCCGCCACCAACGCCGCCGCCGCCTCCGCCGCCGCCGCCGCCGCGCGTCCTCCGCCGGGGCTCGGCCCGCGTCCGGCCCGCGCCGCCTCAGCCCGCCTCAGCCGCGGCCGGTGCGCCGAGCGCCGCCCCCCCCGCACTCCCGCCCGCCGCCGTGCGCGCCGGCCGCCGTGCGCGCCCCCGCGCGGGCGCACACGCGCGCGCGCCGCGCACCTCCGCGCCGCGCCGCTCCGCTAGGTGCTGCCTGCCTGCCTGCCTGCCTGGCCGCGCGCGCTCCGGGGGCGCGCCGGGTGCCCGCCGGCGGCCGTGAGTCCTGCCGGCGGCGCTCGGGTCCTCCAGCCCGCGCAAGCTTCTAACCCGAACGGCTTGGGTCCGCACGGCCCGGCGGACGGGTCCGCCCTGGGCAGGCTGAGGTGTGGCGGGCAGCCGGGCGGCGCGGCGTCCTGACGGGCGGGGCGGGCCCGGAGCTGCCTGCCGAGCCGGGTGGACAGGTGGGCGTGGGCAGCGCGGCCGGCGGAACTGGCTGGCCATCCCGCCGCGGCCCTGACCCCTGGGGTGCACTGGCTGCTTGGGGTCAAATCCAAGCTGACCTTTCTCCGGAGGAAAGATAAATTATTATGGTTGTGGGTGAGCGTCAGTGCAAATGTTTTCAGAGTCCTCCTCCTCCTCCGGCTCCGGGTGCTGTTTGAATCCCCCGCATTCCTCAGCCCTGGGCAGGGAGCGGCAGCGGCCTTTGTGTCTCCCGGGAGCGCATGCCACCTCGGGAGGAGACAGCGGACCAGAGTTAAAGAGCAGGGAGAGACATTAGCGTGAGTTTTTTTGTTTTTTGTTATTTTTTTTAATCTTTTAAAGCGTCCCAGTAAACCTAGAAACCTAAAAATTAACTGCAACAGCAAATGTTGTGGGTTTTACAGACGTCTGTTTCTTTGTCTTTTTTCATTCCCTCCTCATTGCCAAAAATATTTGTTCGCTGGAGAACATATCCCGAAAGAGCTGTTTCCCTCGCCCTCCCCCCCCCCCCCGACCCCATTCATCCAGGTAAAATTGGTGTCTAGCATTCTCTATGACATGCTCTAAAGAAAAGCCTTTCACCGAGGCTGAGAGTGATACGCCCCATTTGACACGGCCTCTTTATTTTTGCCATCACCCTTTCCAGTGTGAAGATATGTTTTCTCTCTACCAGTTGGATTTCGTCTTTCGTAGGAGAGAAGAGCATCTGTCCTCCAGGCTTTGTCTGCTCTGCGGCTGCACTAGCACAGCAAAGCCACATAAGGAGGCTTTTCAGCAGAGGAGCTTGGTGTTGAACTCATGCCATGGGGAATGAATTCTTCAATAGACCCTTCGTCCTCTTCTGGAAGTTAAAGAGAGGCGATTTGCAGAAAAGCATATGTGTGTGCATGCATCTCCCTGTCCTGGTATTCTGTTCCTTTGTGCCTTTCAGTTCCCATGCTTCTGTGTGGACTCGTTTTCATTGTGATGAGATAGATCCCCAGTGGCAGTGCAGCTCAGGACCCTCGCTAGCCTGCACACAACGTAGTTCCCACTGATCCCAGCAGTGGGAACTGATTTTGACAGTGGAGAGCTTTATTCCTGCTGAACAATGACTGGCTCTTCCAGAATTAGTTTGGGAAGCTACCAGTGAGGTAGCTGTATTGCTAAAGGGAAATTCAGTGTTGCTAGAAATCAGGTATGGACTCTGTAGAGTTGCTCTTTATGGGGGGAAATGTGTGTGTAGAGAAGCCACCTACAAGGCAGGGTTTACAGACGGCTCTAAGTCACTCAGTTACCTTTGGTTTCCAGTTTACTTTACAGCTCCATCTGTATCATCTTGAGCAGTGAATCAGTTCCCAAACTAAGTCATAGTAAGTCATTAGTTTATTGATAAGGGCTTAAAAGTAATTTGAAATATACGCAATACCTGCGATCCTCACAGTCACAAATGCTCTAAGAATTAGGTTGAACCATTCCTCCACCAACTGTCATTGTTTGAGACACAAAGGTAAGTGCGGAGTGGTCGCCCAGGCCTGTGTTCCAAGAATGCAGAGGTAGGAGCAGGAAGATCTGGAATTCAAGGTCAATCTTGGTAGTAAAATACAAGTTCAAGAAAAAGAGAAAGCCACCAAAATAATGTTCTGAGTCATGTGTTGTGATACCCCATAGAAGAATAGAAAGATGCTGGGCGGTGGTGGTGCACGCCTTTAATCCCAGCACTCGGGAGGCAGAGATAGGTGGATCTCTGTGAGTTCGAGGCCAGCCTGGTCTACAGAGCTAGTCCAGGACAGACTCCAAAGCTACAGAGAAACCCTGTCTCGAAAAACCACAAAAAAAAAAAAAAGAAAAGAATAGAAAGACATAGGCAGTCAGGAGACTAGTAATCCATAACCTGAATATGAGGGGACAGGGCTCAGGCTGAAAGAGGGCAAGCTCTAGGCCGTAGGCAACTTAGGAAAACCTAAGGCTGTGGTTCGGTGGGACAGAGGTCCCTCACATACATGAGGCCCTGAGCTCTGTCACCAGTATCATAAAAAGAATTATGTGTAAAGATATCCAAATGATGTGTAGAAATAAAATCCTGATCCTTTTTGGTTCATAGCATGATGACTGGTCGTGCATGATGGCGTGATGCAGGAAAACCTAACATCCTATGGGTTCTGTTAACCACATCCATACAGAAACAGATTCCGTGAAGGGTGATTGTCTGAGAAGCCAAACAAGGCTGCACTGGATGAGGCTGACTTGATAATCTGTTAGTCAGTTTCGAAATGTGCTTCCACTTTATACTTAGCTCCTGATTTTAAAGATAGTAAAATAGTTACATATTACACAATAAGAACCATCAGTGCTAATATTTATTAACTTTCTAGCCAGACTTTAGCTTTTCTTTTTTCTTTGTTTTTTTGACAGAGTCTCGTGTATCTCAGGCTAGCCTTTTATGTGCTATGTAGCCAAAGATGACCTTGAACTTCTGATCCTCCTCCCTCTGTACCTCCAGAGTAATAGGACTGTGGTGTGTGTCACCACTTCCAGCTTCTGTGGATCTGGGAGTTTGAACACGTAGCTTCCTGTATGCTTGGCAGGTACTCTGCCAACTGAGCTACATCCTAACCCTTTGAAGTTTATTTTTAATAAGGTATTTTTTAAAAACAAATTCTACAACCAACAATATGCAATAAACCTTTTTCTACCTCAATTTGCACAAGCCCCCGAAAAAGAAGTAGAACCAGGAACAAGATGAACACATCTAAGAAAAGCAGACACAGATACAGCAACCACTGAGCAGATCACTTGACTGCCAATAACTTTCAAACTTTGGCAAGTTAGTAGAATGTTGAAATTTTTCAGTTTTATAATTGCGTAAATCAGCTTACAAACCATTTTAGTGGGTATATCAATTCAAAGGATGTTCTTTAAACAAAATACAAAGTTAAAGGGTGTAATAAAAGTGAAGGCGGCCACAGCACATTGGTATAGATTGTCTTCCACCGAAGCCTCTGCACAGGAAAACTGTTGTAGCTAATTAACCTTGAAAACCAAACAGCTAACTCCTTTCGGAACCTACAGGCTAGAGTGGTCAATGTTGATTAGTTTCTTTGAACAAGAAACAAGGAAGGAAAAGAGAAAAGGGTGGGAGGGAAGAAGGAAGGGGGAATTAAAGATTAGGTTTCCATAGATACGCACTGCTTTACGTAATAAAGAGATGTGTCTTTCAACTCTACGTCATCATATTTCTATATGCCTGTGATTTAGTCACATCTTAGATCACCTAGTAAAATTTACAGAAAGCTGTGTTTACAGAGAATTGTGGTGGAAAAAGATTGTAGAAGTGGGGCGTGGTGGTGCATGCCTTTCATCCCAGCAGGCAGATCTCTCTGACTCGTAGGTCAACCTGCTCTACATAGTGAGTCCCAGGCCAGCCAGGGCTCTGTGGTAGGACCCTGTCTCAAGAAAAAGGGAGATGGCGGCGGGACTTGATAATAAAAGGTTTGATCTACTACACACTGTTAGTATGACTTCACCTCCTACCTGGTGTGGATAGACAAAAGGAGCTGCCAAGACATGGCCCAGTGGTGGACTATTTGCCTAGCAAGCAATAGGCCCTGTATTCAGTCCTCAGTACTGAAGACAAAAATACTACCAAGATAAGCCACATGACAAGCTCTGTTCTCATGCCAAATCTTTACCAGCTCTGTAACAGAACTAGGAAGATACTGTGAACACAATGCATATAAGAACAATACAAATTTATCCACCAATTTTGTATGTTTCATGCTCTTTTCAAATAAAATTATACATATACATAATATTTCATATGGGCTACATGTACAGAATATATATGTATCTATAATTTTGCTGAAAAACTGATATTCTAAAATGTAAATTCCCATTTTTTTTAAATCTTTTTTTTTTTAAATATAACAAGGTCTCGGTTTGAAACTTAGCAAGCCCCAGGCCCTGGGTAACCTGAAACTCACCATGTAGACAAGATTCACCTCCAGCTCTTAGAGATCTGCCTGCCTCTGCATCCTGAATGTGAGGATTGAAGGTGTGCACCACCATACCTAGCTTGATAAGGTACAGCCCAGACTGGCCTCTGACTTCTCAGCATATGCTACTGGAATGGGCCACCACAATCAACAAATTTTATTTTAGAAGTAAAAAGTACGTATCAACTGAAAAGTGAATGTCATTTTAGAATGCCTCACCAACAATAAAAATAAGAGGAACAAAAAGCAGCGTTGAGCCGGGCGGTGGTGGCGCACGCCTTTAATCCCAGCACTCAGGAGGCAGAGCCAGGCGGATCTCTGTGAGTTCGAGGCCAGCCTGGACTACCAAGTGAGTTCCAGGAAAGGCGCAAAGCTACACAGAGAAACCCTGTCTCGAAAAACCAAAAAAAAAAAAAAAGCAGCGTTGAGAAAATGCCTTGTTCGTGAAACTCAGAAAGTATGTCTAAGAATGCTTCCAAAAAAAATACCTACTAGTATGTCTATAAATCAAAAATGTGAAATGAGGGATTTTTGCTTGCTGTTGAAAATGCACTGCCACTTAAACATTTTTAAAGTGCTGTTGACAATGTCAGTTAATGCCATGAGAAGTGAAAGCTTGACTCTGGCCTTCTGTTAAGATGGTGTTATGGACATGTGCCCTGAAGCACTCGGCCACACACATATCTACCCTAATATACACCAGGAGTCAAAAGGAAGCCACTGGGACACAGCTGAGCACCCCTTTCTAAAAGGGCATACCCAAAGGCAAGAAGGGGCTGAAGGTGGAGTCCTGTTGGACACTGGGGCCCACGGCAAACAGATCCCGCACAGGGCTAGGCCCTTGTTGGGTGGGGAGTGGTGGCCGAAAGTGCCACAGAGAGGAGGAAGCTACGGCAAGGATAGCATGCGGTGTGATTGACATCACCAGAGAGAAGCCACCGATGCGGTCTTCTATGCTAGCCCGTCCAGTGAGTGAGCCAGATTCATCCATCCGTGACACCAGGATGCACCCATAGTCACAGCCCTTCCTAGCAAAGAGACTGCTGAGCGTAACATCAGCTAACAAACCAGAAATTCCTGAAGTGCATGAAGAGATTGAATGCCAAAAGACCGTCACAATCACCAGTCTAGAGAGAAATTTCACTCCAGAGGAATAAAACTGATACCCCGAAAAGAACTTAAATGCTTTTTCAGAGCCTTAAAGAAATGCATGAAAAAGTAACGTGGAGCCGGGCGGTGGTGGCGCACGCCTTTAATCCCAGCACTCGGGAGGCAGAGCCAGGCGGATCTCTGCGAGTTCGAGGCCAGCCTGGGCTACCAAGTGAGTCCCAGGAAAGGCGCAAAGCTACTCAGAGAAACCCTGTCTCGAAAAACCAAAAAAAAAAAAAAAAAAAAAAAAAAAAAAGTAACGTGGAGAGGACTAAGAAGTGATAAGGTAAAGAAGGCATGCTGGGAATAGTGGAGCACACTTGTTTCTAGCTCTCAGATGATCGAGGCAAGCCTGGGCTACATAGAGAGACAAGCAAATTATATATGATATGTATATGATTTCAAATGACTTAAATCTAACAAATACACCTTCAACCTCATCCCAAACACAGCAAGTCAGACTCTCAGGGAGAGGCCAGTAATCCGGGTATTTAAGTCTCCCTAAGTGAGTCTGGTGCTGGGTCAGCTGTGGTGGTATTGTGTTCCCCAAAATATTGTGCACTCTAATAAACTTAACTGGGGTCAGAGACAGAACAGCCACAATATTGAACATAGAGGTTAGGCAGTGGTAGCACACGCCTTTAATCCTAGCATTCCAGAGGCAGAAATCCATCTGGAGCTCTGTGAGTTCAAGGCCACATTGGAAACAGCCAGGCATGGTGAAACATGCCTTTAATCCCAAGAAGTGTGAGCCTTTAATTCCAGGGAGTGATGGCAAAAACAGAAAGATACATAAGGCGTGGAGACCAGAAACTAGAAGCATTTGGCTGGTTAAGCTTTCAGGCTTCTAGCAGCAGTTCAGCTGAGACCCATTTGAATGAGGACTCGGAAGCTTCCAGTCTGAGGAAACAGGATCAGCTGAGGAACTGGCGAGATGAGGTAGCTGTGGCTTGTTCTGCTTCTCTGATCTTCCAGCATTCACCCCAATAACTGGCCTCAGGTTTGATTTTATTAATAAGAACTTTTAAGATTCCTGCTACAGTTGACATTGGGTATCATAGGCTGAAATAAATTTTCAGATTCCATTTGACCTTGAGACCACATCACTTTCCCAAGGCCACACATTTCCTTCTGCTCAGGTGAGCCTGTCTCCACTCCCACACTGAACGTGCATGTAATCAGAGGAGCAGCACTAGCCAACAGCCACAGTTCCCAGGTTTGTGATCCACCTCTGACACTATCGAGGATTGTAAGCGGGTCCTCGCGGCTATCTGAACCTTCGTTTCCTCATGGGAAATAAACAAGGATGACAACGTACATTAACTGCCCTTACTGAGCTGCTACAAGGGTCAGATCCAGTGAAGGTTTACAAATTGTTTTCTATCTGTTTGAAATAAGTATCTCTTCAAGATCTAAACATTGACCACTTGAGAGGAGTTCTGAAGCGCTCTGAGGGAAACAGTACAGAAGCACCACATAGAAAAGAGGAAAATCATTCCATTTTAATGTACACATCTTTTCATTTTAATTATTAAAAGGCACTGCGTTAGAATTCCCATTTGTTCTAAAGTCTGCAGGACTTTAAGCCATAAGAAGCTGTAATATCTTGTTGTTTTTTTGTGCTTTGGAAAGGGGGAGGCTGTGCTATGCTAATTGCTTTCTTTCCAGTAAGTTTAATGAATTTGGCACATTATATACTGTACCTTTTTAAACTGTGCATTCTCTGTAGATGA